GGGGCGACCTGACCGCACCCCCTTTTCTGGCCTAGTCCAGGGTCTTTGCTGACCTCAAGGTCAGTTTTAGCTTTTCTGGGGAGAAGAAATCTTTGGGGGAGCCTTGCTCCGTTTACCTTGTGACGGTCTGTGTGGCTGTCTTGACCCCACCCACTCCGAGTTCCTGGGGCAAAAAGAACAGGAGTAACTGATATTTGGAGAGAGACAGGCCTGGAATCAGGCTCTGCCTCCTGTTGGCTGGGTGACCTTGAGGTTCATCCTTCGCGAAGGTCTTGTGTCTCCCTCACCTCACCGGGTGTGTCCACCTTCCCGGGAAGGAGGCAGGGATCGCGGCCCCTCTGCCGTGGGAGGAGGAAACCCAGTGCTTCTGTGAGTCGTCTGGCCGCCAGAGCCGCAGGGCAGCTCCTCCCGGGTCTTCTGTTTCCGGCCCCACGTTCTTTCCACTGCGCTTGCCCACAGAAGAGGGTACTGATTTCAGTCTGCTCGGGGAAGGCTGGGCTTTTATTTACCTCGTCAGGATAATACACAGCAGGTCTACTGTCTTTTTTTTAAAACCAGCTTCTCACCTGAAACTTACATAGTGTTATTAACCAGCGTTACCCCAATACATTTAATTTAAACAATAACAACTATCAAACAAAAAGGAAAAAAAAACACTTGTAATTTATGTAATGTTATTAACTGATGTTACCTCGATACGTTTAATTTAAAAAATAAGTCTAAGATCCCCTCCAGCTTCTAACAGGTGATAGAAGCTTTTGGGAGCTTCAGATACATCTGTGTGTGCACAGGCCTGCGTACCCACTGTGCTTTCCAGCTGCTTCTTGCACGTTTGTAACTGCATATCGTCTCTGAGCGGCTGCCTGGCTGTGGGATCTTGGGCAGCGTACCTGGCTGAGGTGAGCCTCAGGTGCCCAGCACAACTGCCAGAGGAGGCAGGGCCATGGTCCGAAGGAGCGGGCTTCGTGACCCCAGACCTGGGGAGCGCGGACACGTCAGGGTGGGGAGCCCTTTAAGGACATCTGAGCTGACACCCTGTGTTGAAAGAGGAGCCTCCTGGCCCAGGACAGCCAAGCCCATGAATTTAACACGTTTCACTGGACACCTCCAAGGAGCAAAGCCCCTTGAGGAAGGGGCAGGGACCTGGAACATTTGGTTCTGGCCTTACGAGGTTTCACAGGTCGGCGGGGAGGGGACGCCCAAACCCCCCCACCACCCAAGACGATTGCGAGTGGTCACATGCTCGGTGGGTGGGAGGGGGCGCTGAAGGGGCAGGGGCTGCCCAGGCCGGCGAGGCAGGAGTTAGAGCCGGCCTCGCAGTCCCAGGCCTGCACTCGAATTCACCTTCTGCACTTTGCCCATCTGACCCTGCTGTGCCCCCATTTTCTGGTGCGTTGTTCTAAGTGTTGAAGAAAAGAAGTGCATTCATGCCTGGCAGGATCACTGGCACGCTGTCAATAAACGGGAACTCTTTTTGTCTCAGAAGTGGGACACAGGCCCAGGCGGCCGGTAGCCTGGGTTCGAATCCCAGCTCTGCCTCTTGCAGGTGTGCGGCCTCGGGCATGTTCCTGCACCGTCCTGGGCCTCCCGCTTCTCGTCTGTGAAACGGGGATAATCGTGGTGCCCGTCTCAGGGTCGCTGTGAGGATTAAAGGGCCGTGGCAGAGCGCCTCGCAGAGGGAGCCCTTTGTCTGCGCAAGCCCGGACTTTGGCCAGCTGCGCCACTGTGTGGCACTGTTCCCTCCTTTGGGTCCAGCCCAACCGGCGCAGGTCTGGGGACAGCGTTTGAAGTCTCACAAGAGCATTTATCCTTTGGTTCATTTGAGGTGATATTAATTAACATTTAGTTAGCAAGTTACATTTTTCCTGTGGAGCTCAGAAGGTCAGGCCCGGGAGGACCAGCAGAGGCCTTTGTCCCCGCTCTGTCCCTTTATGGCAGGGGCGGGGGTGGGGGGGACATGGGGCTCCCAGAGGGTGAAGGCTTGGCTGAGAAGGCTGCAACCGAAGGCAACTGGAGGGTCGTTCCCCTCGGGTGACCTGGTGCCCGGCCCACTGCTCTTGCCCACACGCACGGTCTCACTCCGCTGTGCAGCTGAGTCTCGGCAGGAGTGCGGGGCCCCCCTCGGAGTCCCCTGAGGGTGTGTCCTGACAGGGTGTGTCCGGTCGCAGGTGGCGGGGAGGGTGTGGGCGGGGCAGCGGGCTGCGCTGGAACTTCGCACAGCGAGCTCCTTGTCGGTGCTGCCCAGTAGGGCAGCCACTGGCCGCTCGGAGCCAGCGGGAGCTTGAAATGTGGCCAGACACAGAGAAACGGAATTCTTGGCTGCGTTCAATTACATGTATCTGAATGTAAACATAGCTAGCCTCCTGTGTCCGGCCCCTCCCTTATGGGCCAGTGCAGTATGTGGAAGAATTTAAAAACTGGAATTCCTGGTAGGTCTCCGGGGGCAAAGGTTTCCTAAGAAGTTGGGCTCTGTCTGGGGACCGTTTGGGGACCGAGGTCAGCTCTCAGACAACTGAGCTGACGGAGGCAGGCTGGACACGGCCCAGGGCAGGCGACACCGAATCCTGTATTTGTAGGTAGATGTGCGTGGTCTGCAAGTTATCTTTTGCTTGCCGGTGCTTTTTTTTTTTTTTTTTAATTTTCTGTAATGAATGGTATGCTCAATTTGCTTTTTATTTTTTTAAATTTAATTTATGTATTTTTAGAGAGAGGGGAAAGGAAGGAGAAAGAGAGAGAGAGAAACAATGAGTGGTTGCCTCTCGTGCACCCCCAACTGGGGACCTGGTCCACAACCCAGGCATATGCCCTGACTGGGAATTGAACCTACGACTCCCTGGTTTGCAGGCCGGCGCTCAATCCACTGAGCCACACCAGCCAGGGCTGCTTGTGGGTGTTTTTAGAGGCAGACCAGCCAGGGTGTGTCTTGAGGCGAGGGTCCTCAGTCCTGTGAGTGCCTAGAAAAGTGTGTGGCATCTCGTGGAGGTGCCAGGGAGTGCTGGTGCTGTGGACCTAATTTTAGTGCGTTATGGGGGGGCATTTTCCCCGCTTGGGGCTCTGCCTTTGGGTTTACAGTGGAATTGATACAACACAGAGCCTGATTCCCAGAAACCACATTTGCAGCCAGAATTCTGGAACGTTCCGTAAACTGATGCACAGTGCTGGCTCCCTTCCTACTGGGCTGTGGGGGCCCCTGGTGAGAACCCATCTCTGCAGCCCAGAGAGCCTGTGGTTGGGAGGCCGTGCTCGTCCACTGTCCCGTCTCCCTGTCAGTGGGCCGAGCACCCTGGCATCACCCTTGGCCTGGCACCGCAGCTGACCAGCTCCCAGGTTTCGGTTGGCCACAGGCTGCTTTCTCCTGAGGGCGGGGACTCTCCAGGTGGGGTGGAGCCAGGGTGACCACACTGTCTGTCTCCTGTCCACTTGGCTGTTTCCTTAACTCCCAGAGGTGTCCTGGGGAGCTGGATAAATTATATAGTCACCCTCCGTGGCCACTCTACCCTTGACCCTTGGATACTTACGGCTGAATGATTGAGGAAGCTTGTTACAAATACAGATTTTCTACATGCATGTTATACTTCAGTAGAAAGTCAACAAAACCTTTTTAATCTTTATTTTAAAAAATCTTTATATTTTTCCCATTAGTCCCCTTATACCCCTCTCCCCCAAAATGCAGATTTTAAAGTGCTTACTAGGTATTCGAGGGAACTTGACTAGTAGTCCCGTGATAGTTCATGATATTATGGGATTTGTAGGGATTCGTATCGTATTTCAGGTCGGGTAATTGTTCCGTGGTTCTGGTTTTAAAAGGAGTCCTTACCTTTTAGAGCTGGGGTGCCAAACTCATTTTCACAGTGGTGGTGGGGGGAGCAGGCCACATCAGCCTCGTGGTTGCCTTCAAAGGGCCCAATGTCCTCTGAGGACCGGGTAGAAAAAAGGTTCCGGCGGGATTCAGCCTCCGGGCCTCGCATTTGCCGCCTGTGCTGTAGAGGGAAGGCTGGGACATGTGTGGATGGCAAGCTGTGGTGTCTGATGTTTCCCTCGAACGCGTGTGGAGTGGGGGAGCGGGTGGGGCCAGAGAGGAGCCAGAGTCGGTGGCTTGGGGTTCTTTGGTGGGGCTTGGGGAGTCATTTCCTGTTTTCTTCTACTCTGGTCAATTTCTGATGTTTTTCCACAATTAGAGAATGAAAGTCAGCTCCGGGACCCCCCCACGCAGCAGCTGCCTCAGCTCCTGCGGCATCGGGAGAGCCACTATCTGGAGTGGGGGGCTGCGGGGGGGCCCCCGGGGGGCCCCCTCTTCTCGGGCCCTGCTGTCCGGGAGCCCGGGGCTGCAGCTGCCTCCCAGCCCTCCTGACCCCTGCTGTGGGAAGCTCTTCCAGCCTGGGGCGGGGAGGGGCGGGCCTTGTTCTCAGTGCCCGAGGCCTGCTGCCTCCCGTTGTCGCAGCCTGTCCGACACCAGGGCTGCGGCTGGGCCCACCCTTGTGCTTCGTATGACATGACGGCTGGCCGCGGTGCCGCTTGCAGTCAGCACCAGGAAACCTGGAGGCTTATCTGGATCTGGAAATTGCACAGCTCACCTGGGGCCACTCCGTGGGGTGCTGGGGGCAGGAGGGGAAGCTGGGAGCCGGAGCCTGCGCTGGGCCCCGGATTCTGCTTTGAACCTAAGAGTGGGGACATCAAGGTGGGAAGAGAAAAAACAAGGGCCTCAAAGGGTCAGTGTCTGAAATCAGCCCAGGTCTCTAAAACAAAGGAGCCTGGGTGGGGGAGGCAGCCTGGCCCTGCACTTTGCCCCGTGGGGGCTGGCCTTGTGTTTAGGAGACCAATGTGGGGAGCGGGGGTGGGGGGGTGCGGGGATGCAGGTAGAGACTCAGGCTGTGCTTGCATTACACAGAAGCACCCCCCATGGAGGGGAGGGACCTGGCTTGGGAAGCCTTGGTGGGTGTTGCCCACAGCCCTGCCCATTTCCTCCACACACTCACCGACTGCCTTTGGGTGTGCTTGCTTCTTCTCTCATTTGCTTAGGAGAGAGAGGGCAGGGCTGTGACTTGAGGCGACTCCATGAAGAATTCCTCCTGGAATCACTGAGCTGGCTTGCTGGGGAGGACGTTGGGGGAGGGGACCTGCCACGTTCCAGTAGGGAGGCCCCCCGCGGCGGGGACTGGAGTGGGGCTGCTGAGCCTTGTGCTGTGAACTGTGAACTGGTAACAGGCTGGCCCCTCTCGATGAGGCTGCTGGCCCGCGTTCTCTGCCTCCCTGGGCTCGCGGGTGGGCAGGCCCCTGCCCGGAAATGTTTTGCACTCGGGAGCTGCACCGGGTCACCCCGGAGATGGTGGGCTCCTGTTCCGGCTGCCAGAAGCAAGTCTGGACACGTTGTCTCTGGAAGGTAGTGTTTCCGGGAGAGGCCTGGGTCTTCTTGCCACTGTCGTAAAAGAATTACAGATCAGCAAAGCTATTCGCCTGCAATCAGGGTTTATTGGTGATACATTCTCTCGGACTCTGCCGAGGCAGGCTGCGGGGGGCGGGGCGGCTCCGGAGGGGACGCGGGGGCGGGGGGGGCGGGCGGAGGTGCCGTGTGAAAGGTAAACGTTCAGGGCCACTAGGGTAAAGGCGGTGGACGTGCTGGCTGGCAAAGGCCGGGGTGGCGAGCTCTTCGGGGCCTTTGTTCCGAGCGCCGATACGGGCGGCAGGGTGGGGGTGGAGCAGCTACGTACTGATGGACGGGTAACGGTGGTGCCGGCTCTGGGGGCTGCAGGAGGGGGGGCCCTGTGAACACCCAGAGGTGTTAATGGGCTCCTTCCTCTGGGCTCCGTGGGCCTTTCCAGCCTTTCGGGCCTCAGGATGAAAAGCCCGGTTTCTGAGGCTTTCCTTCCCAGAGCGTGCGCGGCCGGCCGAGACGGGGACCTTCGAGGGCTGACCCCCCTCCCGTTACCATGGGGATTTTGTGATGTCGGAGCTCCCGCCGCTGGGATCCGGCCAGGCCGGGCGCTGCAGAGTCACTGGGTGCGGCGCGTCTCCCTCCTGCTGCCTGTCTCAGTTCGCCATCCACCCTGCGTCAGTGTTGCAAGGCGTTTCCTGGCAACCAGGACGCGCGATTCCGGGGAGCAGCAGCAGCAGCAGCGCTGCCTCGGAGCTCTCCCTGCGCCGTCTTCGTCTCCTGCCCCAGCGGGACCGAGGGGACGCCGCCGTGCCCGCCGCGGTGATGGCTCCCGGGAACCGACCTGCCTGAGCAGGGGCCGCTGGGGGGGGGGGGCACCCCAGACGGACACCTGCGTTGGCAGAAGCGCAGGTGCTCCGGGACTCCTGACTGCCATCCAGGCGGGAGCAGTCGTGTGGGGTCAAAACCGCAGTGAATTATGGGCCACCCAGCTGGAGACGGGGGCTCAGAGACTTGGTTGGTGTGAGAAGGAAAAAAAAAAAAGAACATAAACAGTTTACGCAGGAATGAAATTGCTGGGTTGTGTGGTAATTCAGGATCAAGATGAGAAACATCCAAACTGGAGAGAATGATCATGTTTATCTGAATCAAACTGGTGATATATGACGAGGAGTAAGATCTCAAAGGGTCTTGAGAATGACGGTTTTACAGTTTCTTTCTTTCCTTTTTCTAGAATTGAAAAAAATTTTTTTTAAATTTATGCCCTGGCTGGCGTGGCTCAGTGGATTGGATGCTGACCTGAGAACCAGAGGGTCACCCGTTCAATTCCCGGTCAGGGCACATGCCTGGGTTGCGGGCCAGGTCCCCAGTGGGGAGCATGTGAGAGGCAACCACACGTTGATGTTTTTTTCCCTCCCTTTCCTTCTCTCTAAAGCTAAATAAATAAAATCTTAAAAAAATTTTTTTTCCACCTGGCTGGCATAGCTCGGTGGATTGAGCGTAGGCTGCGAACCAAAGCATCGCAGGTTCGATTCCCAGTCAGGGCACATGCCTGGGTTGCAGGCTATGGCCCCCAGCAACCGCACATTGATGTTTCTCTCTCTCTCTCTCTCTCTCTCTCTCTCTCTCTCTCTCCCTCTCCCTCTCCCTTCCCTCTCTAAAAATAAATAAATAAAATTTAAAAAATTAAAAAAAAATTCCCGCCCCGAAGGTTTGTTGACCTAGGTGCACAGGAACCACAGGCAGGGCTAGTGTGAAACCTTCCCCTGGAGTAGTCACGGGCCTGAGGCTGACCCCCCACCGTGACTGGCCCAGGTCTGCACCGTCCAGTCCGACCGCCCTGGGAGGCCGCCTGCCGCGGAGCCGGCTGTTTCACCCTCTGCGCAGCCCTTGGAGGAGCTGCCAGACCTGCTCTCTGAATAGGCTGTGCCCTTCCGCTCCCCGCCCGCAGCACGAGGGCCTCCCGGTTTCCCCACACCCTCAGCAGCGCTGGTTGTTACTGTCTTTCTATAAAATATGTTTATGTGTCTTTTATTTTTAGACAAAGGGGGAGGGAAGGAGAAAGAGAGGGAGAGAAATATCAGTGTGTGGTTGCCTCTCGCTTGCCCGGAATGGGAGTTGAACCGGCGACCCTTTGGTTCCCAGGCCGGCGCTCAATCCACTGAGCCACGCCAGCCGGGGCGTTATTATTTGTCTTTTTGATTCCAGCCATCCTGGTGGGTGGGGAGCGGTGTCTCATTGCGGTTGGAGCTTGTATTTTCCGGGATGACTCATGACACTGAGTATCTGTGAGCTTGCGGACCATTCACACACCTCTGGGGAGATGTCTTTTCAGACCCTTGCCCTGTTTCTCACTTGGTTTACTTGTCCTTTTATTTCTGAGTTGTAAGTTCCTTTGATACGGTGTACTGCATACAAGTTTCCTCTCAGGTGTATGCTTTATAAAGGGTTTCTTCCATTCAGCGGGTTATCTTTTCCTTTTTTTTTTAAAGATTTTATTTATTTATTTTTAGAGAGGGAAGGGAGGGAGAAAGAGAAAGAGAGAGAGAAACATCCATGTGCGGTTGCTGGGGGTCACGGCCTGCAACCCAGGCATGTACCCTGACTGGGAATCGAACCTGCGACACTTTGGTTCGCAGCCCGCACTTAATCCACTGAGCTACGCCATCCAGGGCCTCTTGTCTCCTTTTTAAAAATTGAGGTATACAAGGGGGTTGGAGAACGCCCAGGGGTGCTTTCCCATTCATCCAGCTCCGTCCACCCTGGACTGTCTTGGCACAGGCCGGCCACTGGCAGGGGACGTGCTAGAGATATACCTGTTGAAAAGTCAGTCCCCAGGCTCTGTGCTGCGGCCTCCTCTTAAGCTGGCTGAGTATTCTGTTACCTTCTGGGCACCAGCAGGTGGAAACTGTAGCCTCGTAACTGATCCGGATGCTCAAGGGTGTGTGGCTTCTGTTTTGGCAATGACACACTTATTTCTTTGTGTGTTTCTTTGCTGTTCTAGTGCTCGCGTTCACTCTGGTGTGGGCGTTTGAAGATTTTATTTATTTATTTTTAGAAAGAGGGTCAGGGAGGAAGAGAGGGAGAGAAACGTTGACTGGCGAGAGACCCAGGCAAGTACCCTGTCCGGGAGTTGAACCAGCCACCTTTAGACTCACAGGCCAGTGCTCAGTCCGCTGAGCCACATCAGCCAGGGCTGGTGTGGAGCTGTTTGATTGTCGTCCTGTGCATCCTTTCATGACAGGCTGGCTCCCTGGCCATGTGCCTCATGCCACCAGGCTCTCCGAGGCGGTGACACGAGCCAGCCTGTGGTGGCCGGCTTGGCCCCAGTCTCCGAAGCACATCCCGGCTGTTCTTGTTTCGGCCATTCCCAGTGATGACTGTTTTTGTCCTGAGATGTTGGGACTTTGGTCAGTAACAATTTTTTTCACTTGATTTTTGCTGTAATTGCTTCCATGTACCTACTAAATTTTTTACATTTGTTTTGCTATAATTAAGGGAATATAGAGTACAATAGGAGTAACTGAGAGGAGGTTTAGTCTTGTGGGAAGGTGCCAGGCTGTCTCCCGAAGTGGCTGCACTGCCACGGTGCCCCCCGGCCGGCAGCAGGAAGGACTCCTGCTGTGCCACTGCGCACTCTCCTCCGAGTCCCGGGGTCCGAGTCCTGGGGTCCGGCAGCTCCGGGAGGGGTGTGGCGGTTTGAATTTGCAGCTCTCTGCTGACTGTCGACACTCAGACAGGTTTAAACTTCTTTTATTATCAATGCAGAATATACAAACTAATTTTCAAGGGGATTTTTTTTTGTCCCAAAGCATATTCACATTAGCAAAATTTTAATTTTTAAAAACTTTTATTTTTTATTGATTTGAGAGAGAGAGAAACATTGATTTGTTGTTCCACTTACCAATGCAGTCATCGGTTGATTTTTGCATGTGCCCTGACCAAGGATTGAACCCGGAACCTTGGCGAATCGGGACAATGCTCTAACCAACTGACCTACCTGGCCAGGGCAGCAGTATATTATTTTAAAGATAAGTTAGCCGATACGCCACTTTATCTTATTTTATTTTTTCCGTCACAGTTTATCTCCCCATACTCTGTTCTACCTCCACCCTCTCCTCTCCCCCCACATGTGCCATTTTATATCTTTTTATTTGCCAAGTACAGGTTGATAGTGTCATTAAAGTCATCAGTTTTTTTAAATGAGATCTGGACTCTGTGCCTATTAAAAGCATATGACACCATAACCCTGCACAGTACTACTGGAGTTGTCCTAGCAGCCGTGTTATAGAAGAAAGCTTATTTTTAGGCCCACAGATAAAATGATGACATCTTCCAATAAGCTTTTAGGAAATATTTGTCATGTTACATGATTTTAAAAGATAAGAAGACAATTACGTGAAAAGAAGACTAATTTAAGAAAACATGCTTTCACGTGTTATATTTTAACATTATACATTTTAATTTTTCATCGCAAAAGTAAGACAATGATTTTAAACTAATAGAAATAAGATATGCTAATTATAAATAAAATGCCTCATTAACGTGAGTTTCGGCCTTGACTGGTGTGGCGCAGTTGGTTGGAGCATCACCCGGTAACCAGAAGGTTGCAGGTTTGATTCTCAGTCAGGGCACCTACCTAGGTTGCAGGTTCGAGCCCCAGTCCAGGCATATACAGGAGGCAATCAGTCGATGCTTCTCTCTTGCCTTAATGTTCCTCTCTCTCCCTTACCCTTTCTTTAAAAAAAAGCCGGGGTTGGGGGGGGAATGAAAAAATGTCCTTGGGTGAGGATTAAAAAAGAAAAAAAGGTGAGTTCGTGTCTAAGTGGGAAGAAAACCCACATTTATCTGCTTTTTTGTGTGTGTTTAAATCCTTGAAAAAGCTTATGCATTTTTGCAGAATTACCACTTAAAAATACTAACAGTGGTGACAACCATAAATGTATACAGATGGCAGCTACGTAATTTGTATGTTGAACATGTGAAATACACGCATCCCTCCGCTGAAG